TAAAAAATCATTATTATCATTATTATTATCATTCTTCTTCGTAGTAGTAGTAGTAGTAGTAGTAGTAGTAGTAGTAGTAGTAGTAGTAGTAGTAGTAGTAGTAGTAGTAGTAGTAGTGGTGGTAGTAGTAGTAGTTGTTGTTGTTGTTGTTGTTGTAGTAGTAGTAGTAGTTTTACCACACCATTCTCTCTTTTCCAGTAAAATCTCTGCCTTCAGGTTTACACCCTCACTCCACCAAATTTGTCCCTTTTCCTGCCCCCCCCCCCTCAACCCCTTAGTCTCTTTCTTTCTTTCCCTCTCTCTACTTCTGTATCTGTCTCCCTTCACTGTGTCTCTCTTCCTCTCTTTCTGCCTGTGTGTGTGTGTGTGTGTGTGTGTCTCCCTCTCTCTCTCCCCCCTTCTCTCTCTCTCTCTCTCTCTCTCTCTCTCTCTCTCTCTCTCTCTCTCTCTCTCTCTCTCTCTCTCTCTGTGTTTATGTATTTTTGTGTGTGATTGTAAGTGTGGTGTGCGTAAAGATAGTATTAATGGGTGGTTGGTGGGTGCTCGGGTGTGGTCTGCTCCTTCTCTCCTATTCAACATCTATCATCCTTATCTTTCTCTTCCTTCTTTTTGTGTTTGTTACTCTTTTGTAACACGAACACCTCTAATCTTCGGCACTTATATAAACTTATTTTGTTGCAAGTGCTAACTCTTTCGAAAACAAAAGATAGTTTTAGGTGTGAACAGGGCGCTCTGGTGGCAAGCGTAAGTGTATGCGTGGTACCAAAGCTCGATCTACTTTCGCTTTCTTTACCACCCAGAAATTTGCCGGTAGCAGTCTGATTAACGTAACATTTGTAACATACAGGTTGTGCATTACACAAACGCTGTGTCGCCAGGAAAATAAATAATTGTCCTGTGCTCTCACTAGCCGGAAAAAGGAAAGTTATACTAGCGTCTTGTCTGGCTCGACATCGTGACCGGTCAGTGAACCTGTACTTTCGCATCACATTGTTTTGAGTACCAGTGATCGCATGGGGTCACCAAAGTTCATTCAACGTGTGTGCTGTGCGAAGTATAGGGCTCCGGAATAGGGGGATTATTGATTTTTTTAAAAGGTACAGTCGGGGGGAGGGGTGAGGTTGAAGGCAACATCGGATGACAAAAACCGAACTTGGAAGCAAAATTTAGTATTAAGAATTTTGATTATTACTAGAGCTTCCTGCTACGGAAAAGCGTGCATTGGTGCAAGCCCTGTATGGAATTGGGATCCGTCATACTCCTACCTAGTAAGCCGCGTTTTTTAACCAAAAGGTCTGCGTTTCATTGGATGGGTGATAGTGAAGGATCCCCTTGTTTCATTGTCCTTTGTTTTAAGAGAGGTGTATGACCTCATCAAGAGCATACTTTTAAAATTCTCTCTCTCTCTCTCTCTCTCTTCCTTCCTCTCCCTCTCTGTTTTCTGAGTCTCGTTCTCTCTCGCTCTCGTGATAATTATATTATGTTTTGTAAACATCTATATTTTAGCTTTCTGTTCCAGATTCGCAGATTTTCAGTGTCACTTCATTTTGCTCTCCCTCAGAAAAGATGACAGAGATTGGGGACATTTTGGGATTTACATTCCGCTCACAACACACAAAAAGCGGAGTGAAAAAGGAAAAAGGTCAAGGTCATGAAGGGAGCGACGCAGTTACCGTGCACCTAGCTCAAGCTCCCCCCCCCCACCCCCCCGAAACAAAACACCCGGTTACCGTGTTCGTAGATAATGAGAGGCACCCGGTTGCTGGTTACCGTGTACGTAGATATCTTGAGTCTACGCGCCCGGTTACCGTGTGTTGACATTGAGACTACACGCGCGGTTGCCAGTTACCATGTACGTAGATCTTGAGGCTACGTGCCCAGTTACCGTGTGTGTGACAATGAGACTACACGTTGAAAACGGAAAAAAGTCAACGTCATGAAGGGAGCGAAGCAGTTACCATGCCTGCACCTAGCTCAAGCCTCCTTCCGCACCCCCCTCACCCACCAAAACTAAGTACACCGTTACCATGTACGTAGATATTGAGGCTACGGGCACGGTTACCGTGTATGCGACATTGAGACTACACGGTGAAAAAGGAAAAATTAATGTCAACGTCAAGAAGGGAGCAAAGCAGTTACCGTGTACCTAGCCCTAGGGCTACCCCGGGCCAGACACTAACCCTACCCATACCTCTATCCCAACCCCTACCCATAACCCTGTCCCAACCCCTACCCCAGACCCTACCCACACCTCTACCCCTATCCCTAAGCCTAACCCTAACCCTAAGAACTCTTTATTTTTATCCGTTTCATATTGATCGCTCGTTGCGGAATTCCTTCTCCTTAATAATAATACAATGTATTTTGCTAGAATTAATCGCGGTTAGAATTTGGTTAGAAACCTAAGAAATCCTGGCAACTCTGCGCTCCTAAACAACGGAAGTAGATAAAGTCTGCGTGATCAACAATGGCTGCGCCTTGATTCAAGTCTACTAATCCCCGACTCAGACCTATAAAACTTTAAACTGGGCCTAAAAATGCGCAAACTACCGTAATTTTGTCATGAACAGATGGTATACAGTGGCTTTCGGTCTCCCATCAGGATTTTGGAAGCCATTGAGTATAATCTAGATTTAATAGTGGTCGCTCGTTACGGATGTTCTCCCACATTGAGACTACACGCCCGGTTGCCAGTTACCATGTACGTAGAAATTGAGGTTATGCGCCCAGTTACCGTGTACGTGATATTGAGACTACACGCTCGGTTGCCGGTTACCGTGTACGTTGACACTGAGGCTACCGTACGTGCCCGGTTACTGTGTACGTAGACACTGAGGCTACGTGCCCAGTTACCGTGTACGTAGTCCCTGAGGCTACGTGCCCTGTTACCGTGTACGTAGACACTCCATTTCTTAAAATAAGAATATACCAAAGTTAGGACTATAACTAGATCTAGATCTAGAGTACGGTTGCCCCTTACCAGCCGCCCCCCACTTTCCGGCCGATTCGAACTTAGACTGGACTCCGTGCCAATAAAATCGAAATTTTATGACTAAAATGGTTTCAATTGTCAATTTCTTTGCACCTGCACATTCTTTGTTTACCCTACCACACATCCACCATCACAAAAGCCTTGAAGCAGAAAATCCTTTCGTTGTTTGAAGCAGAAAACATATCCAGGTGAGTGCAGCTGCCATTTGTTATCATTCTGAATAAGGCCATGTGGGTCAGCCAAATAAGGTTTCAGCAATCGTATTTCCGAAAGTACTCCTCTTGTGTGAAAGAAAAACATTTTTAGTTGTCTGCTTGGCTTGCCTATTAGCATGTAATGGCTGAAAACGTAATTCCCACTATATGAGTGGGGTGGCCGGTTGAGGGAAACTTTTTTGGCAGTAATTGCCCCATACCGGCCACTTAAAAATAAGGTCTTAAAAAAGCACATTGATGAGTTATAGAGATCTTTAATGTGAAATTGCTCCAAATATCTTTCAATAAACTTAGCAGTCCATTCTTAACTCGTCTATTATGGACAGTTTTATAGATGCCATTGTCCCCCTCCCACTTTCGACAACCTCCCCTTGCCCCACAAAGTTCATCCAAAAATTCAGGACACAGGATTCAGCCCCCAAAATACGTGTCAGGAGAAAAGTATAAGTATAAGGAGTTTGAGGAGGGAAAAGAATGAGAGGAAAGGGAAAAGAAAGCAGCTGTAGAAGATAGGAAGAGAAAGAAGGCAGAGAAGATGAAGAGAAAGAGAAAAGGAGACTGGAAAGAGTGGCAAACAAAGAGAAAAAGGACAAGGAAAGAGAGGCTAAAAGGAAGGCTAATGCTGACAACAAGCAAAAAGGAAAGGGCTTGAAGAAGAAGACTGAGGTTGTGGAGAATGAGAGAGAAAATGATCAGGGTGACTCGGATGCAATTGAGTACATGGACAGTTCAGATGAGGAATGCATGGAAGTTCTTGAGCGTATGAGGTCTGAGTATGATGAGAGTCGGTGTTTTGAATGTGGGAATGACAGGGACTTGGATGGATGGATCGGGTGTGACTGAGTGCATGACAAACAACGTGGAGGTCAATGGATGGAGGTTAGTTCGTTACTTTTGTGTATAAATTGATGTTTATATAATGTGGCCGGTATAGGGGAAACAGGTGGCTGGTAAGAGGCAAATACTCCACCGACCGGCCGGTAAGGGGCAACACTGGGGTCCTTCAAAATTCTATGTCTTATTGTACAAACATAACTCTAAAGAACCAATCTGGCAGTTGCCTCTTATCGGCCAAAGGCCAAGGATTATTTTGCAACATCTTTTTTACAACATGAGTTTCAATTTGTGGTAACTGGGTCAGTTTTTATCCCAAGCTTCCGGGACAAGCCACAGACGCGCGTTAGGCGGCTGGTAAGGGGCAACCGTACTCTAGATCTAAATCTAGATTCTAGAAGGATCAATTATTTCATGCAAAAAATGCCAAATAGGGGGCAACTTGGGTCTAGAATCTAGTTTAGAATCCGAAAACAATATACAATCACAGTGTTCAATGTAACAAGAAGACAGTGACTTAGACTAGATTCTAGATTCTACACTTTCACTACTTTCAGCTCGAACTTTACTTTAGTCTGTCTTTAGTCTTTAGTGTCCGACTTTGTCACACTTTCAGCAGGAACTTAAAGTAGAAAACACTCACCTCTTTTTACAAAATTGGATCCTGGACAGGATCAAAATCGAGATCTAGATCTACAATCTAGATCCAGATCGAAACTCTGGATTTGGATCTCAAGACAAGAGAGACTGCATCGCAAAGTAATTCAATGCCGCCCGGCGATGTCGCAATGATCAACAACACAATATCATATCATCACACGCCACAGGCGAAGGTCGGGCTTTGATTTGAAGTAAATCTAGAATCTAAGTGGACCTAATAAAACTTTCCGTTAAACTTATTCCAAAGCAGCATCTTTAAAGAAAAGCCTGCCTGCTTGTATTCCTACAAGCCTTTTAGAAACAATGTTTACAGAACAAACATTGCCATGGGATGTTGATATTCGTCCAGGTAAGTTGGGCGACAAGTTCCGTCTGTCCTCCTCCATAGTCCATAGTACATCTGGCAAAGGCATTTACAGTCTGCAAAATACTCAGTGTCCCGAAGGTAAATATTTCAACAAGAGAGACTATGAAATATTTCTGCCATAAATAATGATAAAAATATGTTAATATAATCTTTTAACTTGGAAGAATGCATAAATGATGAAAGTATTGAATATAATAGTGCATATAACATTGCTCTTGATTCCAGAACTATCTTTGTCAATTGTGCTATTTGGCAATTCTCTGACTTCGGTTTGCTTTTGTGCTCTTCGGGAATTCATAGAATTGTAAAAATAGTAACGAGCGTCAGCCTTCTATTTATATCAAATTCAAATCTATTAATTTGTAGGGCAGGGATTGGGGAATCGTCGTGACTCATGAGTCATATAGCCTAGTCTTGATATTATGTAGACTCTTTGATATTATAGAGGTTTTATGAACTTCTGGACAGTAAAGTTTTCTGGCAGCTAAGCTTCTTCTTTTTTTTTTTTGGAAGTGTGAATACAGTAATACTGAAAAGATGTACCTGTGTTTTTTTATAAGACATGGTTGCTCTGGGAATATTTTCGTGTTGAATGAGAAGCGAAAAGAGGGGCTCAGCATGGCGTAGAGGTCAAGATGTTGGCCTCTTATTCAAAGGTCCCGGGTTCGAATCCGGGTAGTGATCGAAAAATGTTCTTCTCTAAAATTGTCTTCTTTCACCTTGATCCTTTCCAGCTCTCTAACAGTGTTCTGTCGTCTGCTTTCATCTCTTCTTAATTTTGCCCCCACCCCCTCACCTTCTTTGACGCCTCCTCTGGGCTCCTGACTCTTTCTGCAGCTTTTAGGCCCTACAGTTACTCCTTGCATGGCTCCTTCTTACTGCTGTCTTTCAGCCACACCCCTGATCTTCTGGTAGAAAAGATCTACACCTACCTAGCCTTCTCGGACAAGGGCGGAAAATTTCGGAGGACACGTGTGCAAGTTAAGCGCCCGATAAAGATCCCTTGATGGTCTAAAATCGATAAAGAGTAGGCTTCGGCCGCCACCCAGGCAAAATTCTAAATTTCACACCAACTGAAAAAGTTTAATGTGTCCCGCGCGCTCAATGATCTTATGGAGTTGCGAGCGCCGTAAAACACTTACCCAACAAAATGAAATAAATAAAATAAAATAAAGAAACAAAAAAAAACAACTAGATTCTACATGTATTGTAGGAATTTTAATGCGCCAGCATTGTGTGTCCGCGTTCTTTGAACTGCGAGTGCTTCACCAAAACGCTCATGGTAAGTCGCGGCGGAGCAGATTATAGGGACAAGGAGTTTAGAACTAATGGAGCCTCCTCTCTCTCTTCGCGGCGCCACGAGCAGTACGCCGCGGTGGGGATCAAATATGGCCGCCGAGTGTGGGCTAAATCTCGAACTGTAGCGATTCTTTTTATAGAATCTTATCGGGCTGTGACACGTTGTGGGGGTGGGCGGGGTGGGGGAATGCACGCAAGGAAGAGGGGATGGGGCAGGGATGAAAGAGGAGGGGCGGGCCTTGGGAAGGCACGAAGGAGAATGTGAAAAATTAAATAAGAGAGAGAGAGAGAGAAAAGAGAGAGAGAAAGAAAAAGAGAGAGAGAGAGAGAGAGAGAGAGAGAGAGAGACAGACAGACAGACAGACAGACAGACAGACAGACAGACAGACAGACAGACAGACAGACAGAAGAGAGAGAGAGAGAGAGAGAGAGAGAGAGAGAGAGAGAGAGAGAGAGAGAGAGAGAGAGATTGTGATCAACTGACGGGCTGACGGATAATGACAGGGAGAAAAAAAAATTATGTGTGTGATACGGACTGTTCAATTCTTTCAGAGTTTTTTGTTATAATCTAGTTTAAAAATCAAAAAGATGTGTAAAATAAGAAGTAAACTTGTCCAAGTAACATAAAATTATCTAACATACCAAATTATAAAGATAATCTTTCAATATATGCTAAAATATTTAAAGATTAGAAATGGATAAAAATATACTTTAAAACTGAATTTAAGATATTATGATTGCATGATTCTAGGCGTGTGCCATAACTAACTTTATGTGTAAGGAATAGCGAACACAACAGAAGGTCGATGCCAGCTTTATCTGATTGCTAACAGTATGTCTTGGTCTATAAATAATAATATTATTGATTACAATAATTTTGTTTCCTGGTTTTCACAAAGTGGAGCGCACAATGATTTCAAATATTTATTTTTTTTAAACTTTGAAGGTTGTTGTTTTTTTGTTCAGTAAAGTAGGATAATATGGAGAGCAGCGTTTTTAGTCCCTTATTACACTCAGGGGGGGGGGGGGGGGGTAATTTATCTTATTGATGACTCTTGTGTATTAAAATTTGTTGTTGCTTTGTTTGGTTTATTTTTAAACTGCAGAATCTTAACTGAACCGGAATTATTGATTGTGGGACCTTAGGTGAAGACTACAACAATAGAATTAAACCGAGTATAGTTTATCTAACAAGACTCAAACTCTTATCCACCCCACCCTACCCTCTCCCCTCATCTGATATGGTTTGGTGTTTCTTTATCATAGAAAATATTCATCTTTATTGTTGTTGAGTATTGATTTCCTATTCTAATGGAGCCTCTAGATATCTACATTTAGACAACAGTAGCATCTAATTTGCAAACACAATGGAAAGCAATATAAATGTATAATCTGTATATACATACACACATAATAATTATATATATATATATATATATATATATATATATATATATATATATATATATATATATATATATATAAATATATATATATATATATATATATATATATATATATATATATATATATAAGAATAAGAATAAGAATACTTTTTAAAAAATTGAGTATCTCGGTCTTTCTGCTGGGGTATTGTATCCCTTTCAGCCTGGGTTGGCCTTGGCAGGTAGCGCCGGAGCCAGCCTCTTAAGAATGTTAATGATCTAAATTGTGTTGCTGGGGGCATAAAACACTTTCATTCAAATTTTTTAAAAGGAAAACAACTTAACTGTGAAAACTTCGGCCCACTGCAGCATCATATCGGTTCTTACACTTAAATACAACACAGATGCAAGGCATTTTTACTAATTGACTTGCCTAATCTCAAGGACCTCGGAATAAAACCTTCTTTCTTATCTAGATTTCAGTGCGTAAGTCGGGCATTCGCTCAGCGCAGGTAGACCACAGTTCCGCCGCGAGAGAGGGCTCCTATCAGGCGTGCGGTGCCGCCCACAGAGCATCCTCCATTACTTTTAATCTCCTTGGGGGGGACACACTTCTGCTACTGCTACGCCAGGACTGAAAATATCGCATGTCGCTCGCGCGACCGCCACTGACTGGCCCTATTTTCTACAGTGTATCATCAGATTGTGCGTGCAGTAATTCCTGCTCCGTTTTCTACAACTTGTCACTGTCAAGGCCCTGAGGCGGAGAGAATGTCGAGGCCACGCTTGTCAGCTGTCCCTGGCCACATTTTACAATTTCGGCACATCCAGGCACATCCCGGGTGATTGTCTCATCCCCTATAGCCTAGTGCAAGGACCTATAATTACCTGTACTACTAATTTATAACTTTCTTGTCTTGACTGCACAAGGCGAGCATCTTCCTGGCTTTAAAAATGGATGCAAGCCAGGCACTGACACTGCCTCCCCTCGAGCCTGACCTGGGGTTAGGTTTTATTTTATCACACACGCAACAGTCACACCAAAGATCTCTACCACTAGTTGACTACTAGTAGATAATCTTTGGCCACACGCGGGGAAGGATAAAGGATCTACCGGTTTGTCTGGTTGGTTCACACATGGTAATCGGCACAGGATGAAGAGGGTTATTTTTTTCGGGGAGGGGGG